TACTGTAGCTCGGGAACTATTTGGTGGTTTAACCTCCCAACCACCTCCCAATCCAACCACTTAATGCTGAGTGTCAAGCAGGGAGGCATTGGGTCCCATTTTTCTCAAAGTCTTCGGTATGACCCGACCAGGAGTCGAACCCCTGATCTCCCGATCTCAGGGCGGACACTCTACCACTAGGCCACTCAGTCGGTATACAGCCCGCCTGAGCCTCCACCACTGAAGAGAATCCCTTCAGCAGCTGGCTTCTTCTACAGTCTCTGTCTGAAACGCATGAGTGAAGATGGACATAAGGACGTTTTTTTAGACCAAAAGTACAACGACAGAACCCCAGCTCTGATGAGGCTGGTGTTGACTCAGGTTTGTGAGTCTTATTTGAAAATATTTGTTGTGCTGCTGGTTTGCCTAAAGTTAGCTTACTATCAGGTAAAGTTGTTGGAGAAAGAAAGGGAATATTTACTATCATCTCACACTAAACACTAACAGGAACAATACTCTGCCCTGAATATGCTTAATATGTAGCTTCAGATTAAACATTATTTGGTACAAGATATATATATATATATATGATGTTGACTAGTGCGTGTCACGTGTGTGCGCGCATGCGTGAGTGCGCGTGCGCGCGTGTGTGCGCGTGTGTGTTAAGCCCCGGATCTTCTTCAGTCCTAAATCCGCCCCTGATGTGAGCACCTGTGTGTGTACACGCGCTTGTTTATGTAAGGTTTCTCTATAGGAGCATCCAACAGAGAGTGTGATGGACCACTGATCTGCCCCCCAAAGATGTGTAGGAGACGGGGGGAGCTCCAAGTCCCAGAGATCCAGGAGTTGCCCCAGAGCACAGGAACTCCAGGGAGACTGCAACCAGAAAAACCCCGCTCCCCTCGAGAGGCGCAGAGGATCGCCCCGGGGGGCCACAACCAGCAGCCGGCAGAATCCCGGGAGATATCGGCGGCAAGCCCACAGGCCCGCCCGCAGCCTCCCACCCCCTAGCCGGTCGAGCCCGGGACCCAATGACCCGGGACCCAGGGGCGGCCACCCCCGCTGGGGACGCAGCAGAGCCCAGGGACCCAGACCCCACCAGGCAGCCACCGGGATTGGTCAGACAGATGCCAAAAATCTTAAAACCCCCTGACCCGGGAGCCACGACCCAGGCAGACCAAGGCACCACACTCCACACCAGATGTGACAGGGAGAGAGGAGACGAAGATCTATCTCACCAAAAGAAGTCCCAGGAGAGGGGAGGAGTCAAAGGCCCCACCTGACATACACAGTCATACACAAACACAGTCACACACTCCCTCCCTCATGCTCACACATACACATACAACCAAAGACTTACAAAAATGCACGCCTGACACCCACTCATGCTCCTCATACACACCCTATTCACCCTGGTCCCGGTACTGCTGCACATGGGGTACAACCATTACCGGTTCCCAGTAGGGCTGTCGCGGTTGAGGAATTCCCCCTGCGGTGATTCAGGGTGGCTTAATATTGCGGTGTGTGATATTATTGCAGCACTTTTTTTTATTGCAGTACTATCTAAACATAATGCTTACACATTTAAAAAAGGTTAAAAATTGCCGTGCCTTCTTTCATAACACTTTACTGAATGCAGATCAAAGGGCAGTAACAACACAGATACCGCGGTCAAGTGAGCCGTCATTTGTGAGCCGCGGTCAAGCCAGCCGCATCTTATCCGCCGCGAAAATTTCATTGCGCGTTTACAACACTTTTTACGGTACCACATTTTGCAAGGGAACTGCCCAATACACTTTCCTGACAGTCTGGTTGCATATTCAAAAATTCATAAAAAATCATCCATCATAGCTGATGTACAACTTTCACCACATCCCTACTCTGGAACATGTTGGTCCTGAAAGACCAAGACAGGTTTGGAGCGATTGGAGAAAAAGATGTTTGCTTCTGAGTTGATGTTGGAGTCAAAAAACCAGTCAAAATAAGATTCACCGCTGCAGAGGGAGAACACGCAGCTCTCATGCAAGGTTTGCCTATTTGCTTCAGCAGCTGCCAGAAGTGTTCTGATTTCTCAGTTTGAGATGGCTAGATTTATTCACTCAAGCAGGGAGGGGTCACATGTGTGTACAAGGTTAAGTTTGAACAATCCTCTAAACAGCAGACTTGCAGCCTTGAGATATGGTTAAACAGGATGGCTACTATCTCAACAGAGAACAGGAACCTATTCACGCTGTGTGCAGAAAAACACCCAAGAGGAGGGGTGAGCAGCAGATAACAGGAACATCTGGAGTGTCTAATGAACTGCAGAGTCAGATTCTCATCACACACATTACCAATGATTATATGTTCTCTTGTGTTCATTTAGCAGTAACTATTATTAACAAACACCGACTGTATCTGAAGCAGCACTCAACTGAGACTGCTCTAGTAAGGGTGCATAATGACCTTCTGATGGCTGCTGATGCAGGGAAATGCTCTGTCATGGTCCTGCTTGACCTCAGTGCAGCTTTTGACACTGTAGACCACAACATTCTACTAAACAGGTTAAAGGCCCTGGCTGGGATTTCAGGTTCTGCTCTAGACTGGCTCTCTTCCTATCTCACTAACAGAACATTCACAGTGAAGTCAGAAACCTTCTCCTCAGACACTGCCTCTCTAACATGCGGGATCCCACAAGTTTCAGTGCTAGGGCCTCTACTATTCGCATTCTATATTCTTCCCCTAGCTGGCATCATTCAGTCTTTCCCAGACATCTCCTACCACATCTACGCTGATGATATTCAGCTCTATATGTCCTTTATGCCACACCAGTTGGACAGGCTGGCCACACTTGTACTCTGCCTGACCCAGATCAGTAACTGGCTGTCCAGCAACTTTCTTGTCCTCAATACTAACAAGACAGAGACCCTGATCTCTGCACCCCCGGAACTTCAGCCAAAAATCGAGCAAGAAATTGCCTCTTTTTGCCCATCAGCCAAGGCCAACATTAGAAACCTAGGAGTTATTTTTGATCCAGCTTTAAGTTTAGACTCACACGTCAAAACCATCTCCCGCTCTTGTTTCTTTCAACTGAGAAACATTTAAAAAGTCCGTGAACTGGTTTCTACTGCAGACCTGGAAAAAATCAGAATCAGAATCAGAAAAAGGTTTATTGCCATTGTCAGTGAACAAACAATTCACAAACTAGGAACTTGCTTCGGTACTAACGTGCTACATATAACATGAATAATATAATTAAAAATAGAATAAAGTACAATAAAATATAATAAACTAGCATAAAACTTTGCTATAAAAAAGGCAGGTAATGGTAATATGGCCGATAACGTGACGTTATGTCAAGTACAGAAGACGAGCATGGTTGTGTGTTTATAAGCTGTTCACAAGTCTAATGGCAGATGGAAAGAAGCTGTTCTTATGGCGAGCGGTTCTGGTCTGGATTGATCATAACCTCCTGCCTGAGGGAAGCGGCTCAAAAAGTCTGTGACCCGGGTGAGAAGGGTCAGCTGCTATCCGACCTGCACGCCCCCGAGTTCTGGAGACGTACAAGTCCTGGAGAGATGGAAGGCTGCAGCCAATCACCTTCTCAGCAGAGCGCACAATGCGCTGCAGTCTATTTTTGTCCCTCACTGTGGCTCAAGCGTACCACACAGCGATGGAGGAGGTGAGGATGGACTCAATGATGGCCGTGTAAAACTGCACCATCATCTGGGCCGGCAGCTTGGCCTTTTTCAACTGCCGCAGAAAGTACATCCTCTGCTGGGCCTTTTTGAGCAGGGAGCTGATGGATGGCTCCCACCTAAGGTCATGTGTGATGGTGGTTCCGAGGAAGCGGAAGGAGTCCACAGTAGTGACGGGGGTGTCCGTCAGGACGAGGGGGAGAGATGGGGCTGTGACTTTCCTGAAGTCCACAATCATCTCCACTGTCTTCTGAGCATTGAGCTCCAGGTTGTTGCTGCTGCACCAGTACACCAGCCGTTCCACCTCCCTCCAGCCTTTGTGTCATCACGCTTAGACTACTGTAACGCTCTTTTTACTGGTCTCAGCAAAACCTCCCTCTCACGCCTTCAAGCCATCCAAAATGCAGCAGCCAGACTACTAACCAAATCCAGCAGACGGGCTCACATCACTCCAGTTTTACAGTCCCTCCACTGGCTCCCAGTAGAATATACAATGTAAAAAAAATGTAGATTTTACGGTAAAACGCTGGCAGCTGTGGTTGCCAGAAATGTACCGTAAAAATACGGGTGAAACATTATTTTCTTTAACGGTAAGAACGTATTGTTATTGTTGATTTTACGGTTAAAAATAGAGCTAGGTTCAATATTTTACCGTAGAAGAAAATGTTTTAACTTGAAGAAAAAATAATTTTCCCCCTAAAACTGACATGAAAATAACATAAAATAAAGTTCGTGCCACAAAACACAACATTTTTTCCCTGTAAAATTAACTATCAAAAAATAATAAAATACAATTTTATTCTGTAAAAATTGCCAGAATTTACTTTTTAATGGTTATAAAAAAAGATTATAAAACTTCCATGTAAATATTATAGTGAAACACTTAACTAGTATGACTAAAAGGGTGCTAGTTCTGTTGCTTTGAGTTAATCTTTTATGAAATAATTTACAGTTTGAATAAAGACTTTTGCTATTTATTAACACCATTTTACTTCATAATTTAATGACATGAAAAACTATCATGAGTGTTTAACTCTTGAAATATGATCACCTTTCACTGTTCAATTGATAGTATCAATGATCAACTACTTCATTTAATGCCAAAAAACATTTTGAGTATAAGTAAAATATGCAGATAGCTTAGCAGTTCATTTGATGTTATCAGATGATACAAAACCTTTTTTAGACTAGAGTGCTTTTAAGTGTTCTACTCTGTACGCTTAATACACAAACCATGATTTTATTCAAATTACTAAATGTAACACAAAAAACTCCACCTTAAATTTCCCGAAAAGTATTTTATTTAACATTTTTGATGTTTTGAACATCAAATGTTTGCATTTATACTAAACAAATCAGAAATAGTTACTAGTTATCTCCATGACAGTAACAGTAAGGAGTCACAGAATTCTTACAAGTTCTGTTCAAACTGTGCAAAACCAGTGCTTTAAGTTGAGCACACATATTTCACATTGCCTTTAGCAGACAATTCAGACACCTGTGTTTTTGGTCCTGTTCTCACTACATAAATGTCAGTACACGTAGAATCTTGACTTTTCTAATTATCCAAATACAAATACAGAGAATGAAATATTTTTTATATAATTCAAATGAATTGAAGAAATTACAGTAACAAGTTTACACCCACATATTTTGCACACAGAACTGAACAGTAAAGCTGAAATGTACATCTTCAAACTGCATCAGGTAACAAACTTTACACTTGTTTTGAGAACTTCAACTGCAAATTTTTGGATAACTACAAAATGCCAGCAATGTACTTGCAGCATACTTTTACACTATTGGAATACAAATATCTTTAAAACTGGGAAAATTAAAATCTAAGAAACAAAATACAATTAAAACTGCTGGGTCATAAGAACAGTCAAGCGTCTGTGTCTTCACCTTGTTGTTTAGGTGAGAGATGTCATCCCTGGCATCGTGGGGGCGTATAGGTGCCAGGGCCCATCCAACTTTATCCTCTCGACCAAGTGGATTTACTTCCTACAAAGGGAAAGTTCTACCACCACTTGCATTGGGGGAATTTTTCATTTTAAACAACCCAACTGACTCAATGATACTGTCGGTGGTCAAGGTCAATGTATCCCCATTTCCATCCCATTCTCATGAACGCCACATGTTATCAGGTATGTCTAGATAGAAATGAATTACATCTGGCCAAAAGCACAGTAGGCTGGCATGCATACCACGTTTCTTTAACCAGTTCGTCCAGGTCTTCATTGAGGTAGATGCTGAGACAGCTCAGCACACAATCTCGCCTCACGTTGATGTCTTCATTCTGGGAAGAAAAAAAAAAGGTATAATTCCATGCTTGTCAGTGTTGGAGATATAACACACAGGTGCTGAGGCTAACAAAGTCACTGACAGTTCCCCACTTGATCATCCCACATTGTTTTACTCTACTCTGGTGATGCTCACAAAGGTGTAAGCCCATTAAATAAACAGCTATTTTGAAAGGGGCCAGAAAACATATTTAACATAGGAGCTGTCCTATACAGCCGAGTCAAACAAACCATATCATATTAGATAAATAAAAATAAAAACTTACATTATCCATCTGGGCCATTATGGCTGCCATCTTTCTTCCTGCTGCTCCACCTTTGGAATTAAAAACCTTCATCAGGTTGTAGGTCTGACGGTCCAGTTCTCCAAGGAATTTGGAGGTCAGAGGTATAGTTGTCAGTCGCATAAACTCCAAGTTAATCTGTAGAGGACAACACAGACAGGATAGAGATTTTAACAGTTTGTAAAATAGACCAAGTTATTACACTTCAGATTCACACTTACCTCACTGACATCAAACAGTGCTGGCCATCTGCTTTGGAACTCTGGAATTGGTGGCTCCTGGAGAACCTCCTGCCTCCTGATTGTCAAAGATCTGACTTTGTAGGCCTAATGACTTTTAATAAATGTAAATTGTATCATTAATAATTTTAACATGCTTACTCTAAACATTTCAGCTTGATAATGTAAACCATTTTAACATCACATGAACTGTAAATTTATATAAACTTTAAAATGCTACATTTTGTTGTATACAACTTTTAATTTATACTAACAAAATATATGTTGCCACATGAAGGTGAGAACACGAGATTGGAGGAGAATGCAGAAAAAGTGTAGCTATCTGAAAACAAGAACATAAGTGAAAAGAAAAAAATGAGTTTAATTGCAAAGTATGAATCACAGAAATGCCATATTTTGCATTAAAACTGCATAATTTTGCCAAAAGGTAACAAGTCTGCTCCTTCCAAAACAACCCCACAAAGTTCTCAAATTTAACTTTAAGCAAACTGTAAGTTAATGCTACAGAGCAGAGGCTAACTTGTTACAAATTTAATAGGTTAAATGTTGTGGACAAAAATAATGTTTGCTTAACTAATGATTTTAATATTTGTCCTTTTAACCGCCATGATAACATGACGGTTACAACTGCCAAGGGTTCGTTTAATCCAGTATTAAGCTGGATAGCCAAGATGCCGTGAAATAGCTAGCTTATTAGCTTATTAGCTATAATGCTAGCGGGAAACAGCATTGTCCTGTAAAGCTACGTAGCCAGGATATAACTGCATAAAATAAACACAAACTACAAAATGGTATCACAAACGCAAGCACTCGACACCCTATGGCAAAAAGAAATCTTTATGTACATACAAGACACTCCTTAGAGAGAATGTTACACTTACATCACATGGAGAACGCTACGATGCTACTCCTGAGCGCGGGGGAGTGTGCAGAGGAAGTGCAAGACATTGTTTTCGGTTTCCCAAATTCACTTTTCATAACTTGCCTTTAAAGAAGTTGTAACTCCCCCCTCAGAGTCTTACTCCACCCACGTATCAATTTTAAAAACTGCAACATTAGTAGGCATTGCCTGGAGGACCGAGAGGGCGGAGCCGCAGCAGTGACGAAGACGACGGCTAACTAGACGATGCTAGCTCCCTTCACTCTGAGCAGTTATTAGAAGTGGAGGACGTTTCTCCCCCTCCTTACCCAGACACTCGAGAAGAAAGGGACCAAGTCTATTTGGAGGAGACAAGCGGACCTGAGCCTTATTGTTTTGAGCTTGTGAGTTGCCTGAAATTACCGGAACCGACCCAACAGAACCGGCTCTGAATGGTAAGAAGCCGTTAGCCATAGCATCAGATTAGCTGCAGGGTTTGTCTCCACGGCCCTAGAGCTAGTACTCAGCATGTTTAAGAGATTTATCTGCTTCAACACACCTGGTTTTAATCAGCAACAAATAGCTGAGCTGCTTAACAGCTAATCCAACCTGTTAAAGCAGGAAAACCACTGAAACTTGCTGGATAGCAGGTCTCCAGGAGCCTTGGGCTCAAGTTACAATCTGCTGCATAGAAATTTATGAAAATACCTCATGAGAAAATTATTCTGTAATGTATTCAGCCCACTAAAACTGCCCTGATTTCTTTATTTGTTTACTAATAACAGCTGCTCTCTCGGTTCTAGGTCCTCTGGTGTCTGCAGGTGGTCTCTGCTGGTGTCGGCAGGATCAGGAGCTTCCAGAAGAATGTGCCTTTCAATGACTCTTTCCCCCTTATTTGTTATATTAATTAAATAAATCTCAATTGATATATTTCCTATTTTTGTTCATGTCCATAAATACTTAAACATGCTTGAAATTAAAACAAGCTTTTAACAGTGAGGTGCTAGTTTAATTCATCCCAATAGAGCTAGTTAAACATGCGACAATGTGATAATTCAATTAATGTAATTTATAAATATCCATTAAAATATCAAAACTGGAGTCAAAATGAGATATTTGGCAGCACAAAAAACTTGTCAAACACAATATTTATTATAATAATTGTGGGCAGACAGGAGACAGAGCTGATGGAGGTTCTCAGTCATCGAAGGATGGCTGAAGGCTTTCCAGGAACAGGAGATGTGGTGTTGTCTCCTCTCTCTATTCTGCCAGATGAGCTGATAGGTTACAGGTGTGTGAGGACATCCTCATGCTGTCACAACCAGATGACAGGAGTTATCAGGTGATCAGCCAGGCTAATGATGAGATGCAGAAAGAAAACAAATCATGCAGAAAGAAAACAAATCCAGGAAGGTGTACAATAATATGTGGTGTTGCTCACCTTATGTGCTCTTATAAGTATTAACGTGTGCCTGCCTCATGGTGTAGAGTCCATATTTTGCTGAGTGTCATGCAATAATGCAGGTTATTAGTTAATTTACTTTTGATAGCAAAAACAAAATATTTAATGTAAAAGTTATTTACCAGGTGAATCAGCTCACACGTCACCACCAAGTGTCACAGGGCCAGAATCAGTGGCCTCCTTCATGATGTAATCACATACTAATTTAATTGTTAATATCTTAAAAATTCTGAAATGTTTTAATTTTTTTTTTACCTTGAACAGTTCACTGAGCTTGCACTGTCACTGAGGTGGAAGCTGGAATCAACAGCAGACACCTCACATCTTGGTCTTTTCAGGGGTTGTGGACGCTGCTCTGGGACTTTCTGGAAGATGAATTTCCGTCATGGTTCCCCGTGTCACAAGACACACTGCGGCTCTGAGCTCTATTCTGGCTGGCTATGTACAAAAACAAAGAAGAAGCACATTTATAAATGTTTAAAAGAGCATAAAATCACGTGTAACAATAATCTGTAAAACAAATTAAAACTAGAAGGTAATAATAAAATGTTTACATAGAAGATTATTAAAAATAATTCACCTTTGCTACGCCGGTAAGGCTTCATGTCAGCCTGGACAAGTGCATTCTTGCAGCTAAATCAGTCTGACAGCCAGTGTCTTGGGTAGATTTAGCCTGAAAAAAAAAAAAATAGAAGCACATTGTTGTTGGGAGTTTATAAAGTCAGATAATATACAAAAGAAACTCCTATATAGGCGCTTTATAACAGTCCTAGTGTGTGATCGTTGTTATAACGTAAAAGTCAGTCACATATGATGTGGAGAGCCTGAAATGCGACCTCCTGAACAGAATTCCTCACAAAACCGGGTCACAAGCTGGATTTCGCGCTGTAATGCTGTCTGTCAACTAGTTCTGCGTTAGTTAGAGACACTGTTGCAGAATTACCGACTGACTAGCTAAATGAAGTGAACCACGTCTCTCGGACTTTGCATTTAGGTAGGGAATTGTCTTTAGAAGATGTTAAAACTTTATTTAGCTGACTCACCTCAGACTGCAGCCCGCCGTGGTGGGGGAGCAGAGTCGGTGGGCTGCATCTAAATCGCGGAAGAGCCACGGTGGGCACAGCCTCCTTCTTCAAACGGAGGCGTGCAGAATCGCGGATAAAATGCCCACAGAGCCACCGCAACCATACTACACTGCACCATCTCACCATGCTAACACGATATGGAGCACTAAACCCGAACTACTTTCCTAATTACACTAACAGCCAAACACTAAACTACAATATCCAACAGCCAAGCTAACACTAAATAAGTATGTATAACACTAAAAGCTATGCTAAAGACTAGGATATGCTAATGCTATATGCTAATGCTGAACTACGGCTAGCCTCCTACACTTGCTTGCAAATCCAACTCCCAACTCGCCACAAGGCGTGGCTGAGACGCTCGTTGCTTTTATAACGTTGACACAGAGCTTCTACGTAGTACTCTACTGGTTTACGTAGTATCTTACTCTTTAGCCATTGGCTAAAATTTATTCAAAATGAGTCAAATTCTATGTTTTAAGCTGAAGGTGGCGCTATACTGTGGTATTTAGGCAGAATTTTTAATTTTTAAAGAAAGTGCACCAAAATGCTAAAATAATGAATACACACATTTAAAGCACTATTAGACACTCATTTATACAGTTCATCAGCAAAAAACAAAGTTAATTTAGACGTTACTTGCTCTTTAAACAAATCACATACATTTTAAAAAACAGAATCTTGTTTGTTTTACAGCCTTTTTTATTTAAACCATTTTACTAAGAAAAAACTTATTACATTTAATAATATTAAAATTTATTACATTCTGTAAACTATAATTAATTTTAATGCATACATTTAAATAATATGAGTTTTTCAATATAATCAAATAAATAAAAATACATAAAAATTAACTCTGGCATGAATCATTTCTGTGAGTGTATGTACCTCTTATATTAAAATTTGAGGAAGAATATGCTGTATTAATTGTGCTATGGATCAAGAATGGATTTAATGTAAAGTGCTTTGGGCTTCTTGAAAACCGCTATCTAATCCATTATTATTATTATTATTATTATTATTATTATTATTATGTAAAATTAATGCAAAAATCGCAAAGTCATATTACAGCATGCATCCATTACCAGCACAACCATGCTTACATTCAGCAATTAAACCCTGTATTTTTTTCAATAAATAAATGTAAAAAAAAAAAAAATGTTTGCCTGTTCTAAACTTTATTGGAATCTTCCGTTAAAAAAACTATGCAAGAGTGATTTACAGTAGGTTTTTGTATTTTTTTCAGAGAAAAAATGTACATATTACAGTTATTCCACATTACTTTATTTACGGCAATTTCACATCAAATCAACAGTTTTAAACAGTTTTATAGTTAACAGGTTTTTCCTGTCGTATTTTTATTGTCTTTCGCTGTAAAATATACGGATCTTTTTTACAGTGTAGACTACAGTTTAAAGTTTTAGTCCTGACCTATAGAGCTCTTAACAACCAGGCTCCAAGCTACCTATCTGAGCTTTTATCCCCACACACCACCTCACGGAACCTCAGTTCTATTTCGTCTAGTCTTAGCCCTTAAGCTAGCTGCTATTGGAAGGATGATCTCCGCATCAGCCAATCATGAAGAGCTAAAATGTATGCCCACCAATAGTGGGCCCCCTCGTGGTATATAACCGCAGTGACCCCACTGCTCACCTCCTTTTTCTCTTCATGCCAAGCTTGAGAGCTTTATTAAAGAGCAAATATTATCCTAAAAGAGCAAAATTATCCGAAGACGACTTACCAGCCATGTCTAGCGATGCCAGACCCTGCCCGACCTGCCAGACGGGCTCCATTTCCAGCGGCGACCTGCACGCTAAGTGTGAGGTCTGTCTCGGGGCTCACCACGCTGGCCTGGCCTTGACCCCGCAGGCCTCGTGCCCTTTATGTGCCG